CGGCCGACTTCTGCGAGGGCACCTTGCCCTACTCCTACAACCTGTGCGTGGCGGCGCCGCCCCGCGCCACCCCCGAGGCCGCTTGGCCGCCGCCGCCGCTGCCCATCGTGCCCGCGGAGGAGCTTGTGGCCGGGGAGCCCTGCGAGAAGGCGAGTCCGAGCAGCAGCGCCGTCGTGGAACAGCCGCCCGCCGACCCCGACGCACCCCAGGTCAGTAAGCGCACGATTTTTTCCCGCTCTTTGGGATTTATCTAACGGCATGCTTTCTGCAGTGAGCTCTTGGGCTTGGTTTCTCTGCTGGAGCGCTTAGTTCCTTTTTTGTATTTTCCTGAACTGGTGAAAGAATCCTGTCCCCTGTCTTTTTTTTGTAATCTGACTTAGCGAACCTGCACTTTCCGCCTCATCAGTTGCCTTAGGTCTTGGCTGATGGTGTAGTTTTATGTAGTGAAATCGTTTTGGATAAAATGGTATTGACGTGGTTAAGGTCTTCTTTTCATTCATCACACCTTCACTTTCACCTGATAACTTTTTCTAAAAGCCTTTTTTGTTTTAACTATTATGAGTTAAAAAATACAAAGGCAGATGCTTAGTGGAAAATGACATCCGCCAATTCTTTGTGAGCAGATTTGGAAAATGGAATGGAGAATTTTTTTCTTCATGGTTTCTCTTTTTCGAACTCCTATATGCACCTGCTTAGGAGTTGAAAAAAAAAACCAGTTGCGTTTTTTTTGCTATTCCCTCCCTTCTTTTAATGGACGTCGGATGCAGAAATAGAAGCATGAGTACGATGGTTTAGGTTTGTCACATCTTGATTTCTTTGTTTTTATTTTGTGGTTATTTCTCATTTTGAGTTCCCTCATGAATGATAGTTCCGAGGTAGTCTGTTTAAGATAAATCCACTGTGTACCTAGGCGTCCGGTTGGTTCTACGTGGGTTGTTTTGTTATTTTAGTGTTTGTGGGTTTTTTAATGTCTTCTTTTTTGACCACTTTCCCCTATTTTTTATACTTAATCCTGTTGAATTGCGGTTAGCAGTGTCCTGGATAGTAGTTGTTTTGTTTTGTAATGGACTCCCTCACAGAGTGCATACGCTGCCGGGTTACTCTCGAATGGAACACTGAGTCCCAAAGTGTAAGCGCAGCGTGTATTGCATAAGATTACATGACTAATTCCGAAGTGGTGTTTGGAGAAGAGGGAGAAATTAGGAGTGATTCCGAGGAGTCTCCTATGTGCACATGAAAAGTAGCAGAGACCCGAATGCATAGGAGTCACTTAGGAGGACTGCTTTTGAAAGGGGAATTTTGTCGTTGCCTTGTGCTAGTATTGCTTGGAATTTGGGAAAATAATGTGCCCGCTGGCGTTCCATTGGGACGCCGTAGTTCTCGGTGGAAAGGGTGAGAAAAAGCTTCAACCACTACCGCTACAAAATAGCTGTGCAATTGTACGGGGGAAACTGTGCTTCCGTACCGTGGAATAAGAACCGTTATATTACACACGTCATGTTAAGATAATTTTATATCTCTATTATTTCCCAATTCCAGTAACATTTTCACGTGCGGTAAAATACAACAAACCGGGGGGCGTGCTATTTCTGTCTGGTCGTGATCATTTGGAAAAATGATGCAGTGACTGGTAGGAGAAAAGATGAGAGAGGAGATCCCTGCTCGTTCGCGCTCGGTGCGTGCAGTGCCGGGAGGAGGCTGCGGGCGCCGCTGTTGACCGAGAGGAGCGAGAGGAAGGTCGGAGCGCTGCAGCCCCGCCCGCTGCGGCCCGGCTCGATCGCTGGATCACTGCCTGTCAGGATAGGCGGCCGAAAGACCTGCGATCGTCTCCGCGGTGCAGAGCCGCGCTACGGAGAGGCGGCGGGGCCGCAAGAAGCGAGGCGTAAAAGTAGCGGGAGCCTGATCGGCGGTCGGTGGCGGGGATCTGCCGGCGGTGTTGCGGTGCCGGCGGCGCGGCGGCGGAGATGTGCGCGGCGGGGAGGCGCTGGGGCCGGCGGCAGCGAGTGCTGCTGTGGGGCGTCCTGCTGGCGGCCTGGGAGGCGGCGTGGGGGCAGCTGCGCTACTCGGTGCCCGAGGAGATGCCCAAGGGCTCGTTCGTGGGCGACGTGGCCAAG